TACTCCATATGAATTCATAGTGTAGTGTAGTTTAGTTATATATTCAAGTTTTCATGTAGGAGAGTTGCACCAATTTCATTACCACCAATAATGTATGAGAGTAACTCTCTTCCCACAGCCCTCCCAACAGAATTTGTTGTCACATTTAACTTTTTTTTTTCTGGTCTGATAGATGAGACTTGTTCTTTTGGTGTCATTTTAATTTGCATTTATCTAATTATGTTGGATCATTTATACATTTGAGAAATTTTAAAATATTTTTCTTTGAAAAAGAATATGCAAAAAAGCATATTTATGTATTTATATCTCTTCCCCATTTTTCTATTTTTTTTCTCCTTTGTCCTTGATTTTAAAGAATTCTTCCATTTATCATCTCTTTGTGGTATATGAGTATTTTCTCCCAGTTTTTCAGTTATCTTCTGACTTTATCCTTTTTTGTCATACAATTACAATGAAATCAACTTTATCAATCTTTTGTTTTATTCTTCCCAGATTTGGAGTCAAAGTTAAAAAGTCTTTCTCCACAACAAAATTACAAAGGAATTTGCTGATATTTTCTTCTATATATTTTCTGCCTGTGTGGGTTCTTTTTATTTATTCCTGAACTATTGGAATTTAAGGATGAGTTTTATCTTTTTCCAAATGACTTCCTATTTGTCTCACCTCCATTTATTTAAAAAAAAAATGGTCTTTGACCTCAGTGATTTCACCTGCCACTAATTCTAGACTTTCTCTTCTATTCTACTCATCTTTTTGTCTGTTGATGAATACATCAAGCTTCTTTGAATCACCTCTTTAAAAACCAGTTTAAAAATTTAAAGTACACTCGTACACATTAGGATGGCTAAAAGAGACAATAACACATGTTGTGACAATGATATGGAAAAATAAGAAAGTTCATTTGTTGGTGGTTAGAAAAATGGTTCCTCTGCTTTGAAAACAGTGTGGCAGTTGCTGAAAAAGTTCAAGTTACCATAAGACTCAGAAATTTGCTCCTAAGCACATACCTAAGACAAATGTAAAAGTGAACAACAATTTCTAAAATGATTATTTATAGCAGTATTATTCAAAATAGCCCCAAAGTGGAAAGTACCTAAATCTTCATCAACTGATGAAAAGATAAACAAAATGCAGTAGATCCATACAATAGAATATTATTCAGTCATAAAAGGAAGTACTAACACAGGATGAAATATGGATGAATCTTTTATTTCACTTAGCATCAGATGCTAAGTGACAGAAACCAGACATAGAAGGCCACATTTACATGAAATGTCCAGAATAAGAAAATCCCTAGAGGTAGAAACTAGATTACTGGTTTCCAGGGGTTGGTAGATAGGGTCGGTGGGAGATAAGGAGTGACTGCTAGTAAGTATGAGGTTTCTTTTTGGAATGATGAAAATGTTCTAGAATTTGATAGTAGTAATGGTTGAATAACTTCATAAATATTCTAAAACCTGTTGAATTATATACTTTAAAAGGGTGAATCTTATAGCATATAACCTATATCTCAATTAAAATATTTAGAGGAAAAAATAGAAAGTTCAAGCACTTGGTAAAAACAAACAAACAAAACCCCAAACACTTAAAAAGGATATGTGATAAAAAGTTAATCCTTTCCACAATGTCAGTTGCCAAACTTTTTTTTTAAAGTCTTGTCAGTGTGTGTATTTATAAAATAATTTTTCCTTTTTCAAATATAAATGGACATATGATACATTCTATTCAGTAATACTTTTCATTGAACAATATATCTTGACTATCTTCCCTAATAGTAACTTGATAGCTATGTCATCTTTATAACCCCTTATAATATTTACTGTTACAACCATATGCTATTAATTAAGATTTAAATGTGTTTTAGTTTATTTTGCTGTTGCAAACAATGCTCAGAGATCATTCTTTTTATATTTTTATGAGTTGATAGGAATGTATCTGTAAAATGATTTCCTAGTTGAAAAATTTGTATGAAATTATTTATTTATTTAGATAAATTTTAAATAGATTACCTTAGAAAATAAAAAATACAAATAGTATATGCTGAGAGTCTCTATTCTAACACTGTTCTTCCATCTCCTGAATACTACTAGTATCTTATGTTTTCTTCTGCAAATATTTTTGATGTACATAAGTTTGTGTATGTTTAAAACATTAGCATGTTGGTATATTTGGATTTTGAAAGCTATTACTAACTTGAACCCAAGAAATGTTGCCCTAACAGTGAATGGGATTATTTTCATATTGGGTATTTTTTGATAATGTAGAGTCAAAAACTCTTTACATTCTTTAATCTCAGCTGAATTTCAAATCTACTATTTGAAATAGTCATGACATCAGTAGGACCTTAAAAATCTTTAGTTCTATTGGTATTTTGGTAGCTGCTGGTTGTTATGATGGCCCAGCTGGCACTTCAGCAGAGTGATTTGACAATCCCAGGAAAGCAGAGTCTCAAGGAATCAGCAGAGTTGGGCAGCAGCAGACCCCAAACCTAGAAATGGTAATCTTCTAGAATTGAAGTAAGAGCTTGTTCCTTTTGGCTAAGAGCTTGTTCCATATGGCTTGGTTAGAACAGGATACTCAAATTAGTTTAGGCAAGAAAGGGAATTTATTGACTCTTATGAACAAAAAGTCCAGAGTTTGGTTCAGATGCTTGTTGCAATGGTGTCTTCAAGAACGTGTCTTACCTCTTACCTCTGCTTTCTTCTGTGCTAAGTTCACTGTTAGTCAAGTTCCTTTTCAGTTGAAGCACCAAAACCTTCAGAGTTACTTTCTGCCAATTTGTCAAACTCAGCCAAAGAGAGGAAACTCCTTCCAATAGTTCAGTAAAAATATTACAAGTATGTCTAATTGACCTGACTTTGTCACATGCCCTACATGAACCAATCACTTGGCTGGAAGGATGGACTGATCTAACTGGCTAAGTCCTGGTTAGGTGATATCACCTGAAGGGCATGATGAGACAGAACCAGTAGGATGAAATTATTTGATTAGGTAGGTGGTGGTGAGGCCTTCATCCCTTGAGCTGGTGGGTGGGATAGAACCAGCAGGGAGGAATGATCTGATTAGCCAGATCCTGGTGAGGTATTAGCTCTTGGGCCAGGGAGTTGGATTGGAGGTGGAATGTGACAGGTCTTTGTGTTTATCTGATATTTAGTCTCATCAAATCAGGTAGGCTGAGAATGAGCAAGAGGCACTTTTCCAAAGGAAAACTGTCCACCCCCCCCCCCACACCCACTCAGTAAAAAAGGGAATGAATACTAGATAGGCAAAAAATTTTGTCACTGGGCTGGGGTTGTGGCTTAGTGGTAGAGCGCTTGCCTAGCACTTATGAGATTCTGGGTGTGATTCTCAGCATCACATATAAATAAATAAATAATAAAGGTATTGTGTCTAATCACAACTAAAAAAAATTTTAAAAGAAAATTTTGTCAGTGGCCTTCAGATTTTACTTCTTTATCCCCTAAAATAATTTTGAAAACCTGTGTGCCTATTTATGTGTTTTTAAAACGGCTTTTTCGGCATCAGTTTTAATTGTCCCTTCATTTGGGGCAGTATAATATAGTAATCATACTAGTTTTCTATACTGTGTAACAACATAACCAAAACCAAAGTGGCTTAGAACAATACCCATTTATTAGCTCACAGTTCTATAAGTCAGTAGTCTGGTGTGATGTGACTATTTCGGCTCATTTTCTGGCAAGGATGAAATCAAGCTATTAGCCTCAGCTATGTTCTCATCTGGAGTTCTAGGCTCTCTTTCAAGCTTATTGGTTGAACTTGCAGAGACAGTTCTTCCTATGTTTCCTTGATGGCTGACAATAGAAACTACTCTTAGCTTCTACAGGCCACATACATTTAAATGTCTTATGGTCCCCTGCATCTTCATAACCAGCTGGGGATTTCTTATGCATCAGATCCCTCTCATACTTTGAATCTTTGACCTCTTCTCTTTCTGAGCTCTAGAACTTTGACCTTTAGGACTTTTGTGATTAGGTCAGGCTGATCTGGATAATCTCCCCATCTTCAGCTCAATTGATTTGGGATCTTAATTATATTTTCAGAGTCTCATTACAGTAGCACCTGGATTAATATTTGATTGCATAACTGGGATAAAGTATTTTTTACATTATGGGTCAGGAATCTTGGTGCCTTATAATTTTGCCTACTGCAGTAAGATCCTTGAAGGGTAGGAAGTATGTATTTATTTTTGTAAAGTGAAAGATAGGCAGTTGTGACTAGGGAGATGAGAAAGGAGAACACTATAAGCAGGATGATATTTGGAATAAAGATGGCTTGGCAGGCAATGAGTTTTATTAAAGATTAGGTACCGAAGTTGGAGGTCAGGCTTTGATTTGTTTAACTCTGTGCCAACATAAGTCTTTGTGTACCTCCAGAGATATACCTGTTCCATTCTGAAAACTGTTGCATTTGTGATCACAGAGACACCTTGATGCTTGGCAAATAGAGTAGAGCAGCAAATGAAGCTTACAGCTAGAGGTTTGGGGCTGGGAGGGTGGAAACAATGACTACAAAAAACCCTGATGCCTAAGCAATTGCTACTTCTTTCTTCTGCTATCCCCGGATAGGCTTCTTCTTGTTCTTGTTCTTGTTCTTCTTTTTTTTTTTTCTTTCTGGAACAATATTCTGTTTCCTCTCTAGGGAATAAAGAACTGAAGTCACAGCTTGCTCTTATCCTTACAGCTGTAACTGTTGCCTAGTAACCAGATTCCCCCTCTCCTTGCTTGTTGCCAAGGAGAGGGGAGAAAGGTAGAGAGGAGCGCACTTCTGAACCTCTTAAAAGCTATTGTCCTTTCCACTCCACACAGGACTCCTTGCTTTGGGGAGTTGGGTGGACTGCCCTAATCTGGCAGTTTAGGTTCCTTGAACAGAGGGAGCCTGATTCTTTTGTCCTGGGCAACTGGGAGGAAGAGCACTCATGGGGACGTCTCCTTATGGAAGGAACCATGACAGTCCCCCCTTCTCATTTTGGCCTGCCCTAGGACAAACAGAGGATGTGCAGATGCTCCTGCGCTTTGGGGCAGACCCCACTCTGCTGGATCGACAATCTCGGTCTGCTGTCGATGTCCTGAAGAGGAATAAGAACTTCAAAGCCATTGAGAAAATCAACAGTCACTTGGAAAAGCTGGCTACATGTTCTAAGGACCTATCAGGTACAGCTCCTGTAAATTAACTTTTTTGGGGGATAAAACTGGTTCTGTGATATCAGATACAAATCAGTTTATCTCTTTTTGGGACACATAGATCTAAGTGAGACCCCTCTTCTCCAACATTCAGAAAACTGGTATGCTTTTTTTGGAAAGATAGAATGAGACAACTCTTATTTAGAAGGTATCTATGACATTCTGGGAACTTTTCCAGACCCACCTTTGAACAGTATTGGTGATTTTTTTCCCCCACATATTCACACAGTTACAAATGAAAAAAAAATCATACAGAGTAGGAGATGACAAAAATCAAGTGTACTCCTCAGAAAAAAAATTACTGCCAATAATTTAAAATGTATATCTATTTCTGAATTTATTGACTTGGGTTAGTCTCTATTGACAGACTCTCCTGAATAAGAGGAAGCATTTAACTATATCGGTCCTACTTGTTGAATTTGATCTGATAAGATTACTTGTATCATTTATATTCCATTTCTTAACTGTGAATTTTCCATGTTTCATCTATAGATTATTCTAAAAAATGGGAACAGTGGGTGCATGGTAGTATTATATAAATGTTACCCTTTCTATAACTAGTGGCATGGCTGGACTCACAGAAATCAATCACTAAATGTCCTGAAAACTTTGTTCTTTGCATGTGATACTCTTAAAAACATCCCAGTTTAATGAAATATGTATATATTTTTATGTTTCTTGTAGTTTCTTGCACTTATGTATTATCTGTTACCTGAATAAGTTTCTTTCTTGATCTGCTAGAGTAGCTACTTAATAAGTTTTTACAAGGGCAGCATCGATGGTAGACTTAATAAGTTCTTAAAAATGTCTTTATTTTTCCTCATATTGATTAATAATTTGTTTGAGTATAGGCATTATATTTCATTGATAGTAAGTATACTTTATCCCATTTTATTATTTTTGTAATTAGAATGAGTTTTATAACCAGTGTTATGTTAAAGTAATGGCAGTTTTTTCTTATGTCCAACAATCTGTGCTATCTTTAGATTTATGAAATACATTATATAACCTTGTTACAGCTTTGAAGAAATTGTTTCATTGCCTTTTATCCCCAATTTCTACTGATTAGAAGTCTGATGTTAATCTTATTTTTCCCCTTCTAGAATTTTTCTGTTTTTGAGTTCTCAAATTTCTTTCAGATGTATCAAGATGTGGGTCCTTATTCGTTGTTCTTGTTTGGCACCTGTTGGTACATTTTAATCTGTCTTTCTTACCTTAGAGAAATTATCTTTTATTATTTTACTACTCTCCAATGTTTCTTTTCTCTTATTGCTACTACTGTTAAATGGGCAAGTTTCTTGAATTAATAATAAATGTCTTTCAACTTGTCCCTAATATTTTCTCCCCAGATTTTTAACTTGGCTTTTAGCTTTTCCTTTTATAACTCACTCTGTCCATTGCTACATTTTGAATTTGGGAAATCATAGTTTTAATTTCTAAGAATCTCTTTCTTCTTATTATTTTTTCTTATTATAGAGGCTTATTCTTTTTTTTAGCATTTTTTTATTGGTTGTTCACAACATTACAAAGCTCTATTTTGCATTTATCACATCTTCTTGAGTTACATTTAAGAATATTAATTGTATATACATGCAGATATATGAAGAATGTATATGTGTGTGTGCATGTGTATGTATGTGTGTATATCTATCTCTGTCTCTATCTATCTGTATTTATTTATTTAAAGAATGTTCTCTTCTCTTCCCTGAATGATTGCTTTTAGGGTTAGTTGATTCCTTTTCTTGGTTCTATTTTGTGCTGTTGCTTTTCCTTAATCATCTTCTGTTCTTTGTATTATTTATGTTTGTGAATGAAGTAACACCTTGATCAATACTTATTAAGTGGATAGTGTGCATAGTTAAATTTGTTTCTCCAGAAATATTCCCTCCCTAAAATGGGTGGGTGAAGCTACTCTGTAGGTGGAGAGTGTTGAGGTGGGAGGCAGTCTGATGTCTAGGGATTAGACGTAGAGTATGGAAAAGTTTTATTTGGGGAGGTTGAAGCTGCTTTTCATTTAATACACCCTCACTGGAATTTCCCCATTTGTTTCAATTATTACTTATTTATTTTAATATTATCTGTCCTTTTCATGAGGCCATGATAATGAGGAAAGAGAAATGTTTTTGCAGAGTTGTCTTTTTTTTTCAATGGATGTTCTTCTCCAGCGATGACATATTATGTTTAGTTTTTAAATGACCTCATGTTTTAAGGAATTATGATTTTGTCTTGAGGTTATATAATTAACAAACCATTGTGAAGTGCTGAGAGTTTGTGTACATGATGTCAGTTTCAGAATTATTTCTCCAATTTGAGAAATTAAAATAACCACAGGGATTACTTAGCTAATTAATTTCTAGGTTTTAAAATAATAACAACAAAAAGAGAACTCCTAGTCAATAGAAGAAAATGGCTGCTTTGTTTGCAAATTTATCTTTTATTAATTATGATTTTAATTCTTAGAATAATGGGTATCTTTAGTGTTATACTTCTTAGCATGACATTCATTTGTTATTAAAGTTTTAAGTTTTGATTGTTTCTTTCCTTGTATAATAGAATCTTTGAATACCTGCTAATCCAAAAAACATCTAATTGTCTGAGACAAATATTTTCCCCTTTTGTGGGACTGGGGATGGAACCCAGGACCTTGGACATGCTAGCAGGTGCTATACCCCTGAGCTATACCTGCATCCCTGAGAGATGATTCTTAATCTTACTTCGATCTTCTTCACCAGTTAAATCAGTAGCCTCTGTTTGGAACCCAGAGAAGAGACTCAGGAGAATCTCAGCCTGTCTATATTCATTACAGTTCAGCTTACTTGCTTGGCAGAAAAGCATTCATGAGAGGAATGTGCACTAATTCAGGCCTGCCATTTGACTCATCAGGTAGCCTGTGATGACAGTGGATACATGTAAGCCTAAAGCCCTCTGTCCTCCTTGGCAAACTTGTTGGATGTTTGAGTACTTCAAAATTTTCTGAAACATTGACAATGAAGACTTTCATGACTTGCTAAAGGAATATTGAAAGACTATAAACAGTTAATGTGAAAAGAACTGAACTGATACAAATTTAAAAAGAAGAGGATGATAGTAGTCAGGAAGGGCCAGTAAATCAGAGCCTTCCTGTATTCCCTAAAAGTAGTTCTAGCAGCAGAACCCTTGTAGAAGTCTTCATATATCTCTGTGTGTAATGATATGTGGATGGAAGAGATATTGTCCAAAATGTCAGTGTTCCTTTATACGTCCATATGGCTGTATATAGTTGTAGTATACCTTTTGTTTCTAATATTTTGCCTGTTGCACAAACTTCAAAACCTAAGGTGGGACTAGGAAATCTTTCTAGACCAGTTCTATGCGATATAATTATATGAGACAATGGAAATATTCTGTATTTGTTGTGTCTGATATAGCCATTGGTTACATATACCCATTGAGCAATTAGAATGTGTATGTCTTTTTTATTATTATTTATTTTTCCACATTTTTTATTGGTGCATTATATTTGTACATAATGTTGGGATTTGTTGTTATATATTTGAACAAAATGTGTATGTCTTGTACATCTGAACAATTGAAATTTTATTTTTCTTTAATTAACTTTTATGTAAATTAGTGTCCACTATATTAGACAGTGTAGTTTTAGACTTCAACTATCAAAAGTTCTTTATATTCAGAATAGTGATCAAGAAAATGGTGGGAGGGTGAAAGAAAGTTACCTAAGAGCCATGGGAATGAAGATGGATTTACTTTATTTTTATGGACCATAATTCCTCCCCATCTTTATCCATTGAGGGGACAGAGGGAAATGTCTTTGGAAACAGCTGCTGCTGGGGTGTTTGTACCCCTGTTCTTGAATAAAAAGTCTCACCCAATGATTTTGATTTTTTTATATCAGTGGTCCTGAGTGCAGTACATTTAGGACATGAAGTTTTATTCACTTAGATGATAAATGAACATTTCAATTTCAGACTAGGATTAAAGATGCTTTCTCTCTTGATCCTTTCTGAGAGTCTCTGTTCCCGATTTTGCTGAAAACAGTGGTGCTGATCTCTTTGGATAGGGCTATCTTTTGCATGGAGGTAAAGAAATAAAACTTAAGAAATAAAGAGTCTTGTGGAAGATTTCTGGTTCTCTAAACCAGAGCTTTTCCAACGTGTTCATGTATAAATATTTGGAAGCCTATGTTAAGATGCAGATTTTGATTCGTCAGGTTTAGTGTGGGATCAGACATTCTACATTTGTCTCAGTTGCCAGGGAATGCCAGGGACCACTTTGAAGAACAAAACTTTCATCCTTTATAATAGTCAAGATTATAGGTTATTGCCTTTACTTGCCTTTTGTGGCCACCAGCAGATGGCAACCATGTCCACTTTCCCTAGTGGCTGTTGCTGCTCAGCTCTTAGGACCAAGAACAAGCAGATTGGAACCTTTGTCTTACTAGCATGGTGCCTTTTCAAGTGAGCTCAAGTTCAGACCTCTGAGGGGAGCCAGATGTATTTTGCTCAACACCAAGACAGTGCTTCTTTCCAGTTAATGCAGATGTGGGGTTTTGATTTAAAAGATGTCCATTGCATTTTCTCCTTTTTATAAATCTATGTTTTCATTTGTTTTAGGAAATGTATGAAATGTAGCAAAGGAAATATTAATTTTTATAAATATACCTCTAGGAAAATTAATATATTTGGGATTTGGTCATTTAGTCTAATTCTATGCATTTACAATTATAACATTTTTATTTTCTTTTATAAAAATGGAATGGATATATTAATTGAACCTGATCAAATTGTGTGTAATACAATTTATCAGTTTTGTCTTTTATACCTTAAAAAAGGTATTTTGGGCAAAAATGAAATGATTTATTTCTATTTCCTAATATTTCCCAGCACTATTGTAACTTCAGAAGATCTCTTTAATTTTTAATTTCAGATTTGCTGATATATTTTTGCTAAATATGGTAATTATAGAGAATTATAAAAATATAGTGTTATATGGAAACAAAATTTATTGTAATCACACTTTGGCTTGTTTTCATTTAGTCTTGTTATTGTTTAATTACTAGTCATCTTTAAGAAAAATCTGTAATTATAATGCATAAGCAGCTTCATATCCTGATGTTTCTTTGTCTCTTATTAAGCTTGTAGGAAATTTAGGAAAAAAGAAAAAGAAAACCAGAAAATTTTAATGTAACAAGTCACCCACCACCTTACTTCCCAGGGACACCATTTGTCATATTTAGAACTTTCCTTCTGTGTATTTTTGTGTTGTCAGTAACATTCTTTGATTTTTTTTTCCTCTAATGCCTGGAGGTTTCTCTAATTAGGAACTGCCTTCTTAACTATCTAAACCATCTAATGTATTTATAATACTGCATCTAATTATCTCTATTGTCAGCTTAGCACATTTCTGTTCATTTTCATGTGACTTTTATACTAAGCCAGTTTTTCTGGAGAAAGAATGATCTGCCTGAAAAGCTTTTAATGGCATGGTACAAGGGGGCAAGCAAAGGAAATTCTTCTTTTACCAAAGGTCCTATTTTTTTTCTGTACTGTAAGGTTTTATTGTTTTCTGTGGCTTCATAGGTATTTTAGGATGAAGGTAGGAGGATACGTCCAGGGATGCTAGCCAGACATCATTCCACCACCCACATGTTTTCTGTCTCACAATAAACTTCTAGCTAAGGTTATGTGGGCTCATCTGGCAAATGGTTACCTTTTTCTCTTCTCTGGAGTATTGTAGATTTTACTTCTGCCTGGTGTCGAAGCTCTCTTGATTAGATGGTAGTGAATGTTTGCCCCAGAAGTTGGTGCATGGATATTTCTGGTGTTCTGATTTGATTTGTTGAAATGGTAATCCAGGTGTGCATCAATAAGGTTGGCATTCCCTGCCTGCCCCATTGGATCCTTTTTACCATTTCTGTGTACTTCCTAATCTTTGAGTTTCTTCACTTTGAAAAGCCAGTTCCTAATTAAGGCTTGTTTTGTTTTCAAGAAATGTCTTTGAGCTTATAGAGCCTGTTTGGCTCATACTCCTTCAAACCAGAGGTGCCTAGGAATTTCCACTCTCCCATTGCAGCCCGTAGGCAGTGACTGATAGATGTGAAAATATGAAAACCCATTTCCCTTGTCTTACGTGGAGACAACTCTGAGGTCTGATTCATACTCCAGAACTCCTCTATGGGATGAGGCAAGGACACCCTCTGTAGGACTTTGCTTGAGCTTACCTTCTCAGTTGGATTCCTCTTCCACTTTTCTTTGGCTTCCCTACTTACTCCTTTGCTGGTCTTCTTCCCTAATAAACTACTTGCACACAATTCTTTGACTCTGGATCTGCTGCTGGGCAATCTGTTTGAAAATAACAATGTTTTCATTATTTGCACCCATTTTCAAGTAGTCCATCTCTTTTAATGTGTCTATACTTTGATAGAACATGACACTGGATATTAATTTATGTCTTTACAACCATGATAGCACTTCTACTGTGAGTCAGGCACTTTTCCTTTGGTGAGAAAACAGATGTCCACCTGTGCTCTCCTATCTGCTCAGTAAAAATGCTTTTTGAGGATATAATTTGATTTTAACATATCATCAATAGGTGTTTTGTCATTGTGACTGTTTCCTTGAATAAGTTGAATCAAGGAGATATTATCTTTCTTGGCCAGCAAGATGACTCTTTACTTAAATTGGCCTTTCCAGGTTGTCAGTAAGACATACAAATTTGAATGCCTAGCATATGGTTAGATGATGATATTGCACCAAGCCACCTTTCTACTGTTTACTTTCCTGAATTATTTTATTAGTGATCTAAACAGACTACCCAAATTTATTGACTAAAAAAAAAAAAAAGCATTTGTTTAGCTCTAGATTCTGTATGTCAGCAGTTTAATTTGGGCCGTTCGTACTGTCTTAATTGAACTCCTTCAAGTGTCTGCAGTCTTTGCTGATCTTGGCTGGATTCTTTCACATCTATGAGGCCTCAGTTTGGACAACAAATTTCAATTTGTTCTATGCTGTCTCTTATTCCCCAGCAGGCTAGCCTGGACTTGTTCTTGTGGCAGAGGCCAGGTCCAAGAGCCAATAGAGGTATACAAAATTTCTTGATACCCAGGCTCAAAACTGGCACAAAAATCACATCTACTGATAAGCCAGGCCAGAATCAAGAGACTGGAGTGGAGAATAATCCACATTTCTTGATGGAAGGAGCTGCAAAGTCACATTGCAAAAGATGTGAAAAAACAGAGGGGAAGAGAACTGTGGTTATTTTTGCAGTCTACCACAGCCGCGATGTCTGCATTCAGAAGCATCACGTGGTGGTGTTTTGCAGGACTCAGCAATGGTGATGGACCCACTAGTGACAGCGACATTTTCCGGAAGACCTCTGAGCAACTGGTGCAGTACATGAATTCAGGAAACCGGTTATTGCATAAAAACTTTCTGAAGCAGGAAGTAGTTCAGAGGTTTTTGCGCCTCCTTTCTTCTTTGCAAGGTATTTTTCTTCACAACATTCAGTTGTGTTAAAGATGATCTGTGCCCATTAACTTGCTTTTCCATGGACTGGGGATGTAGCTCAATGGTAGAAAGTATTCTTAGCCTGGGTTGAGTTTCCAGTGCCACAAAATCCAAAACCAAATTCTATTCTAGTATCTTTTAAAAATTATTCTCTGAAAATAAAGGTAATGCATCTATATCTAGAACATTCAAATAACACAAAGTTCTTCAGTGAAAAGTCTATCCAGGCTGCATGATAGATATTAGTTTCTAAATTCCATCCCCAGAGGCAACCATTGGTACTAGTTTTTCATGTAAACCATCTTAGTGATTCTTTGCATATGCAGTCACTTTTTTACATACCATAGTTGTTTCTTCTATAGATAATGGCTAAATGTTGGAGTATAGGTTATTTTAGAATTGAATGTTGATTTTGTGTTTATGCTGACACCAGGAAACTTCCCCCAAAGAACTTTAGATGACAAACTTTAGATAATTATGACATGTTTTAGAAATTCTAAGTTGCTAAAACTTAGCATTTTAAAAATTGACATTTCATAAGGCTGAGATGTCTCAGTTTTACACAATGTATGGGAAGACATGACCAGAAGAGCCAGAAATGCTTTTCAGGATATATAGCAGACCCTAGTATTTAAGGCTTGAAGTTTTGTGTTTGAGTCTTAGCTCTACCACTTACTCCATCTATGACTTTAGTTCAATTACCAGATTCTTTAAACTTCAGTTTTGTCATCCTGGACTCAGCTAGGGAGCTAATCTCATGAGATAATGTATAGATCACTTGATCCAAAGTCCTCTACATAAAATGTTAATGCCCATTAGCTTTTAGGGTGAGTTGAATGAAGTTGGATTGTAATATTGGGCTCGTTGTATATGAAAGAAATGGGTTAGAGACAAATGACACACACAAGACCCTAGGATGGGCCTTTCTTACATGAGATATATTAGAAGTGGACATTCTTTACAAATTACATCTAGGGAATCCTCTTGGTTTTGGACTTAATGTCATCTGACACATGAAGTCATTTCTTTTATACTAAGGGTTATAAAAATAAAACTTGACCTTGGTCAAAATCTTATCACAGATGGGAATGTTACTTTTGGAATGTCCTTTGTTTCTTAAGGTCTATGTTCCTGGGCTTCCTTTGTTTCTCTTTGGGGGATCCTGTGGGTTAGTGTGGGATCCTCTGTCTCTGGCTATGGTCTTTCTCTTTTTCTCTGTGTTCCATACTATTTATGTCTTTCCTATTGGTCTTCTCACAGCTCTCTTCCAGAGTTCAGTCTTTAATTTACTTAACTCTTTTGATTCTTTATCTCTTTTTACTTTTTCTTCTCTCCTATTTGTGTCCTTAACTGCTCACAGGGTGGGATGTTGATAATTGTTTCTATTGGAATTTACAGAGTCAAATTGGTTTAAGTTGTCAAAAAAGTAACTTTTTAAAAATTTTTACTTTCATGCTAGAAATGCCACTAGCACACATTCCCTCCCATCTTCAACTCAGTTGTCCTCTGGTCAGCTTTTATCTCAGACTCTCAGTGGGAACAAGTCTAGATCTCTTAACCTGTGACTCATCCAGCATTTCTGGACTTGTGGACCCATTTCTCTTTCATGGCAGTTGGAAGAAAAGTCCTAGGCTTCACTTTTGATCATAGTGTGTACCTCAGAACCAATAATTGATCAGGAGGATGGAGAGTCTTGATTGGCTCAGGCCCAAATCACAGGCTGCCCTATCCCTTTCATATCTCAGTAGAATACTGGGGGGTGGGAGTGTGGTTACCAGAAGACCAGTGAATAGATTCTGCGAAACAGAAATTGTGAATGTTTATTTTAAAAGTTTGCCTTTTATAATTTTATTCTAATCCTTGTTAAAATAAGATGATAGACTTGCCTATATTTAATTTGTTCTTATTTTAAATGAATATTTAAAATATTAAAATGAATATTCATTTTAGAAAAAAATGGGAAGCAAAAACTAGCAAATGCAAATCACATTGCTCATGTTTAGGTAATTTTTAATTTCTTCCATCTGCTCTTTCTCCCTACTTTCTTACTGGTAGGATTGTCAGACCAAATACAAAATGCCCAGTAGAATTTGAATCTCAGATAAACAATTATTTTAGTGTATATTCCAAATATTTCATGAAATACACTAAAAATTTACTTGTTCATCTGTAATTCAATTTTAATTGACATCCTATATTTTCATTTGTGAAATCTGGCAATCTACTTACTGAGGATCTGTTTTAAAGTTTTTCTCCCTCAAAATTCATCAAAAGTTTGGCATGGATAACCATTATCCTGTCACTGGACATCAAAGACCAGATGGCAACACTTAATGTAGCATGATACAAAATTCAGAATGAGGGATCAACTACCCTCTAATATCCTACAACTCTTTACTTTTTAATTATCTTCTAGTGTTCCCTGTAGTTCAGTGCTTCTTAAGCAGGGCATACTCTTAATATTATGAAAAATTTAAGTCAGGATTTTGCCCGTCTCAAGTGTTTGCCCTGAACTCAATCAAGTATTCTGCCTTAAGAAGCAATTGTCAATTCTTCTATCTCTGAGTCCAGGCTCTGTATTCCCCTACGGTATTTCTAATGTCCTCCAGAAGCCTGTGAGGTCATTGGTTACACTAATGTGCAAGAGTGCTTAAGTGACTTACTCAAAGTAATTAATTATTTATTTGTTTATAGTTTTGCCAATATATCAATGAAAATATTGATCTGTAATCCTTGTTAGTTGCATATAAATATTGGGTTGTAGTTGGGGGAGGAAGAGAAATCATATGAACCGTTTGTGGAGTGTGGTTGATTCTTATTTTTAAAAGAAATTCCTCCTGACCTGATCTGTGACATTAACCGAGACTGCGCCAACACCTTCATCAAGTTCTTACTGGAAAAACAAAAATGGTCCGAAGTGCTTCTGCTGTTAACACGCAAAGTAAGTGGGGAGCCACCACCCGGAGATTGCCTCATCAAGGACTGCAACCTCTCAGACCTGGACATCTGTACCATCATCCCCCACCTCAGTGCCTGGGACCAACGGAAGACACAGCTCCTGGGCCGCCTGATAGACAGTGGAGGTGAGAATGCCCAGATGAAACATGCTGGAGTATTGTCCAGGTTGTCTGGACTGGTGTTCTGGCTTCTTCTTGCTTTTGGAGATACCATGAAATTCTGCCTCATTCTCTTTTTATCTTCATCTTTTTGAAGCAGCTATGAGGGTCAATGGATTTTTCTGTAGGAATTCTGAATTTTTGTGAATTTCAGTTATCCCTGTTCTCTTTCTGTCATATATAAGAAGCATTAGGTGTATGGATGGTCCTTGGCTCTGGTTTAGCCCACAATGCTCATTTCTCCCTGGCCTCTGGCTAGATTTTCCCCTGCAGGGCTTTTGGGCAATTCTTGTGGTATTCTCTTATAATCAATGGATTGGGATTTGAGATGCTTGTTTTTAGTGTGAAACAGCCAAGGAATTGGTGGATGGAAAATCTGTCATTTTAATCAAGAACAATCTCATATAACTGGGCATATGTCCGGAGTGTGCAGACATCTTTCTAGGTTGGTTTTATTTAAAAATTAATTTAGAAACACCAGCTCCTTTCCCAAACCTCCACTCATGTAAGAGGAAGTGCCCTGCCCTTTATAAGGAGCAGTAGCACTTAGGTCCTCAGTCCTCAGAATGCCATACCCAGTGTATGTAGAGCCTTTAGGCATTGCTCTACCCACTGCTTTCGGGAGGTAGAGGAAAGCCTTCTATAATTTATTTCTTCAAACCCCTATGTTCAGTGTTACTTTCTTTGCTCAAAAACTATAGTTGTCTTGGTTTCCTTTTTTTATTCCTTGGTTCAGAGCCTCTCCTAGGATCTGGTGCTAGGAACCAAGTCCCAGAAGTAAATGCATAGCTGCTGCAGATCTACAGAGGGTGAGGCTGCCTTGGTGGAGTTCAGAGAGCCTGTAGTGCAGAGGGTGTGTGTGGATTGAGCTCAAAGGAAGGTAATATTGGGGGCAGATAGGTGTCGGGAAGATGGCAATTGAAGGTAGAAGCTTAGTAGAAGAAAAATGTGGGGAAAGTGTTCATGTCCTTCTCACTGATTGTGTGTCAGATATGGTATTATGCAAGCATTAGGATTGCCATTATTCTGCCTTGTCCTCACTCTGAGGCAATGCATAGTGGGAACTATGGGCTCTGTGGTGGCATGAGAGGAGGGGCTGGAAGGGGGGTGAGACCCACAGACAGAGCACTTGGAGCAGCAGGGCTTTCAGCCTGAGGGTACTGGGGTGGTAGGATGATCTTGGTAGTCAGGTCAGCAGCAGCTCCTCCTTGGCATCTAAATAGCAGAAACAGTCCCTTTCTCTTCAGGTGAGCCAGGATGTACCTCTTCCCAGGATGTCACTCACAAGTGCCCTTCTCTTCTGCTTTCTTCAGCCTTGCCCGATGGTCTGCAGCAGAGCCAGGAAAGGCCACTTCTCATGTGCCTGAAACATGAGGACTTTGAGTTGGCTTTTCTTCTCTTGACCAAGGGTGCAGACCCCCGCAGTATTTCTCTCACTGAAGGGGATACTCCTTTGCATGCAGCACTCCACATCTTTTTAGATATCAGTGGTAAGCATTGTTTTTTAAGTGATCTTTTCCTTGATGAGTGTTTTAGTTAGCTTTGCATCACCGTGACCAAAATACCTGACAATAACAGCTTAGAGGAGGAAAAGTTTATTTGGGGCTCACGGTTTGAGAGTTCTGGTTCATAGATGACTGTTCCATTACTTTGGGCCCAAAGTGAAGTAAAACATTATGGGGGAAATGACGTGGCAGAGGAAAGCTGTTCCCCTTATGGCAGCAAGGAAGCAGAAAACGAGAAGGGAAAAGGCAGAGGGGGCTGCAGAGAAGTTGTATCCTTCCAGGGCATGTCCGTAGTGACCTATCTCCTCCAGCCTCCCCACACCTGCCTACAGTTACCACCAGTCTGTTGAAACTAGGATAAGTTGATTAGGTTACATCTCCTATAATCCAATCATTCACCTCCAAGTATTCCTATAACACAGGAGCTTTGGGGAACACTTTATATCCAAATCATAACAGGGTTGGAAACTAGAAATTAGAACTGGTGCTGTGCTTTTTGATCTTTCCATTTGGGAAAATCATTGTCTAAAAAAAGTCTATTTCCTGGACAAGCATGCCTGTATCTCCTGACCTCCCACCCATAGCACAATGAGAAGAAGTGACCATCATGATGAATGGTCAAGGTGGGCACATTGATTTTTAAATTCCAAAGTTGACTATTGGTAGCTGACAGATACTTTCCATTTATTTACACCTTTTTCAATAATCCTGGCATGCAGGATCACTAGAATATTATAAGGTGATTTCAGGACTTACTCCTGACATTTGAGTTGGGGACTTCTTTGTTGTCAAGAGCTATCTTGTGCATTGTAGGATATTTAGGAGCATCGCTGGTCTCTTCCTACTAGTTGCCAGTGGTACCCTCCTGGTTGTGACAGTCATGCCTCCATACATTGCCAAATTTTCTGTGGAAAGTAAATCACCATTGTTTGAGAACCCCTGGGTTATTTAATTGGGTATCAGACACCTGGGGGAGGTCAGTATTATGAGATGTCCCAGGCTGGAATCTTTATCAAACCTAGGTCTTCTGATCCCTGGGAAAACTGGCTCAGTACTCACAGGATTTTGTTTGTGTCTTTCAGCTGACACTGGCTTTAACTTCCTCAGCCATCTCTTGGATTTATTCTGGTCCAACCCCACTGAATATTACTACCTCAATCCTAACATCCAGGACAGCAATGGGAATACCCTCATGCACCTCCTCTTTCAGAAGGGCATGCTGAAGCGCATGAAGAAGCTAATAGACCTATTGGTGAAGTTTGACATCAACTTCAACCTGAAGAACAAAGAAGGCAAAGACGTACGGCACCGGATTAAGAAGAATGATGCTCTGCTTTTGGCCTGGAACAAAGCTCTGACAGAGAACAGGCGGAGGAGCAGGCAAGACTCTGCTGCCCACCTGGGGAAGCTCTCAAGGTCTTCCACTGCTGGTCATACATCTCAGCTCAAGTCCCAGGGTTCCTTCAAGTCACTGCCATATGGCACCACTGCCAGAACCCCCTCTGAAGGAGCCACAGTTCCCGATAGCTGGGAGACTCTCCCTGGTGCTCAGGTGACCAGGCAGGAGTCTGAAGCTATCAGGCCACGGTCCTTGAGAGATCGCCTTGTACAGGACATCACAATTTTGATTCAGCAGGTTGAATTGGATACAGCTCTTCCAGAGGACTGTCCTCAGTGCCCTGAGCCTCTGGAGGTAGGAGGTGTCATGGAAGTAAAGAAAGATAAACTCCAGCGAACCCTGAGTGTGGGGAGCTCTGACAGTAGTGGGAACAATTCTGCTGTCCCTGAGGCAGGGGAAGGACATGCTCAGGCAGGTCCTGGGGCCTCACAGCTTGTTCCTGCTGGCAACAGAGGAAGGGAGGGCAGTGATGATCAGGACAATTGGAGCATGCAGGAAATCGAAGCATGCCTCCAGGATTTTGATAACATGACCTGGGAGATCGAGTGTACTTCAGAAATGCTGAAGAAGCTGTCTAGTAAGGTTATGACCAAGGTCATAAAGAAGAAAATTATCCTTGCTATTCAGCAGCTGGGGAATGGTGAGTGGACCCAGGGCCTGCAGAAGCGCCTAAAGCACCTGAAAGGAAATATCCGGCTCTTTGAAGCTAAGCTGGACAAAGGAGCTAGGATGTTGTGGGAGCTCGCCATCGACTTCTCCCCTCGATGCAGTGAGAACCCAGAGAAAATTATCGCTACAGAAAGAAACACGTCCTCCATGGAGAAATCAGGGCGAGTCTACACGGAAATCATCCGGATCTGGGACATTGTCTTAGATCACTGCAAACTGTCAGATTCCATTATGGCCATCTGCAGTGCCTACAACCGGGGATTGTCCTGTGTCCTACGTAAGAAGCTGAAGGGTATCAACAAAGGCCTAGTTTCAGCTAACATGAAAATCCAAAAGCGAATACCCCGCTGCTATGTGGAGGACACAGAGGCAGAGAAGAGCAGGGAACAAGTGGATCCGGAGTACTTTCCCCCGGCCAGTGCAGTGGAGACGGAGTATAACATCATGAAGTTCCACAGCTTTAGCACCAACATGGCCTTCAACATCCTCAATGACATGACAGCAACAGTGGAGTACCCTTTCCGAGTGGGTGAGCTTGAGTATGCTGTGATCGACCTCAACCCAAGGCCATTGGAGCCCATCATCCTCATTGGTCGGAGTGGCACTGGGAAGACAACCTGCTGCTTATACAGGCTATGGAAGAAGTTCCACATTTACTGGGAAAAAGCTGAGCAGGCAGGAAGCCCGCTGCTGGCCAAACAGATGTGGCCAAAGAGAAAGTTGGAAGCAGAACCCAGAAAAGAGGGTCCAGATAGGGAGCAAAAAGAGGAAGAAGAAGAGGATGAGGAAGAGGAGGGTTCCTCTGAGGTGGAAACACTAGACAGTGTAGAGGAGGAGCAGGAGAGTGAAGCCTGTGCAGGGGGAGCTGGGGTAGAGGCAGTGGGGGATGGCCATGGGGTGGAAGGGTATCCATCAGAGCATCCCCACCAGCTGGAGCATTTGCATCAGATCTTCGTGACCAAGAACCATGTCCTGTGCCAGGAGGTACAAAGGAACTTTATTGAGCTTTCCAAGTCTACCAAAGCCACCAGTCACTATAAACCACTGGAACCCAATGTTCACAAACTCCAGGACCTGAAAGATGAGAACTTTCCTCTGTTTGTCACTTCCAAACAGCTGCTCCTCCTGCTTGATGCTTCTTTGCCCAAACCATTTTTTCTGAGAAATGAAGATGGAAGCTTGAAAAGAACCATCATAGGATGGTCCACTCAGGAAGAGTTGACCATCCCTAATTGGCAAGAAGATGATGAGGAGGCTGAGGTGGATGGGGACTATAGCGAGGAGGATAAAGCTGCAGAAATGCGTACAGGTGACAGTGACCCCCGTGTATATGTGACGTTTGAGGTGTTCACCAATGAGATATGGCCCAAAATGACGAAAGGGAAAACCTCCTACAACCCTGCACTGATTTGGAAAGAAATAAAGTCTTTTCTGAAGGGTTCTTTTGAAGCCCTCAGTTGTCCCTATGGGAGACTAACTGAAGAAGCATATAAGAAATTAGGGAGAAAACGGTCCCCCAATTTTAAGGAAGACCGGAGTGAGATATATAGCCTCTTCTGTCTATATCAGCAGATCAGGTCCCAGAAAGGTTATTTTGATGAGGAGGATGTTCTGTACAACCTGTCCCGAAGGCTGTCGAAGCTCAGGGTACTCCCCTGGTCTATCCATGAGCTCTATGGCGATGAGATTCAGGACTTCACCCAAGCTGAGCTGGCACTGCTAATGAAATGTATCAATGACCCCAATGCCATGTTCCTCACCGGAGATACAGCCCAGAGCATCATGAAGGGTGTGGCCTTCCGCTTCAGTGATCTGCGCTCTCTGTTCCACTATGCCAGCAGAAACACTGTGGATAAGCAGTGTGCTGTCCGCAAGCCCAAGAAGATCCACCACCTGTACCAAAATTACAGGTCCCACTCTGGTACGTCTAGCATGGCTCACCTGCTGGGTAGGTGTGTGGGCATTGACCTGGGTGCAAGGGAGCTTTAGGACAGCTCCTAACATGCTTTTTCAGCTAAAGCAAGAGTCACGTTTTGGAGTTTGTTAGTAATTACACTCAGGAACAAGAAATCTTATGATTTCTGCCACCACTCAGTCAAAAATCTATAATTAAAGATGTGGTTGGGTGAAAATGGACTTCAAGTAATTCTTCCTAAGGAACTTACCATGACATGGAAACATTTCAAGGGAATGCTTAAGCTGCTTTGAGAACTTTTGTTAAAATACCTTGGAAGAACCTGTTTAATTTGGGTGAAGTAATATGCTAGTTACAAGTCATTAACCTTTAAAACAGCTTTTCTTCCAAGGAGGAGCAAAAAAACTGGGGTGCTTTTTATTTCAGTTATGCCCCTTATCTGTGCCAGGTGTGATGCCAAACAGCTTACATCTAGTACCTATGCTTAATCCTCACAACAGCCATGTGAGGTAGATATCGTTCCCATTGTATAGTAGGAAACTGAGGCACAGAATGTTTAAATAATATGACACCCATATCAGAAAATTTCCTTTATGGTTTATAAGTGTTTAAAAATATTCTTTCCATTCTAAACTATTCATGAACAATATATGGTGTTATTTTATATATTTTAAAACCTTATTCAATAAGATCATTCCTGGTATGCCTTTCTTCAGCTATATTTTTGCCATACAATGTGTTTTTTGAGATTTCTGCATGTCAATTACACGGCACTTGAGTTTATGCATTTCTTAGTTTTTAAAATTTTTTTTTAGTTGTAGGTGGACACAATATCCTTTATTTATTTATTTATTTTTATGTGGTGCTGAGGATCAAACCCTGTGCCTCACACATACTAGGCAAGCCCTCTACCACTGAGCCACAACCACAGTTCATGCATTTCTGACTTCTTCTATTAGTACTGTATTTTATGACTGTTCCACAATTTGCTCTCCATTTTCCAGGGATGGATATTAGATTCATGTCAGTTTTTTACTGTGACATAATCTTTGCCTACTTTTAAAATAAGTTGTTTTTTTCTTATTGCTTTGTAAGAATTCTTTATGAATTTGCCTTCACATCTTTTGTTGATTTTATATATTGCAATTTTTTCTCCAATTATGTGAAACATTTTATTTTTTCTAATCTTGACATACATATACATTATATACATCTATCACACACATTTATTGAATATGTAGTGAATATATATGCTATGTTTAGTGAATATTTTTCCCATTTTTTAAATTATTTTTCAGGTTGAAATTCACATAGCACAAAACTCATCCATATGAAATGTTCAATTTAATGATTTTTAAAATAAATTTACAAAGATATGTAACCATCACCACTATGTAATTCCAGGACATTTTTATCACTTCAGAAAGAAAACCCCATAGCCACAGGAATTGCTTCTCATTGCACTCTTTGTCCCATTCCATGGCAGCAGCTCACCTTTCCTTTTCTATGGATTTGCCAACTGTAGACATTTTATTTAAATAGAATGATACAGTATGGGGTGATTCCTGTCTGGTTTCTTTCACTTAGCACAATGTTTTCAAGGTTTACCCAGGTTATATGGTGTATCCATATTTCATTCCTTTATATGGTTGAACTTTTATTCCTTGAGTATGGCTACATCAACCATTACTTATCTAGTTTCCTGAATGATATTTAAGTGGATTCCAGTTTTTTAGCATGATGAACACTTGTGCTCTTGCATTTTCTGGCTCTTAATGAAGAGGAAAACACAATTGATTTGCTTAGATGCAACAGTTTCTACTGATGTCCATTTCATGGTGTTCTATTTAGACTATTATAACCTATGTATGTTAAGCAAAGAACACATGACCCCTAAGAGAAATGGAGAGATCTATGAAAATGTACATTCAATCCAGTTTCAGTCTCATCACTTGAAGGTGTTTATTAACTTCTCAGACCTGGTTGCCCCCTTTGTAAAAGTGAGATTGTCTCATTTGTCTCACTGGGTTGTTGTAAGGATTAAATGGAATGATTTCTATGAAGATGACTATTGTATGTTAGATGTTTAGTCAATGTTAGTTTCACTTAAATTAGAAAAGAAATGGGACCTGTGGGGAAAGTGCTTTGGAAAATATTTTCCCCTGTTCTGACAAGTTTTCTTAGTGTAGTCCTCTCTCAGCTGGCTATAAACCTGGAGGAAAAGGTGATAGAAGCCTTGGGTGTTGTCTCCAGTTAACATCCAGAGCTGCTGTTACCATGGTAACTTTGCTTCCAGTACTCTGAACACCAATGAAGGAAGATAGGGTAATTCTTGTTTTCTTATGATAGTCTATATTGGTTTCTTTTATGGGCATTCAAACAGCTCTGATTATTTAGATTGCCTTTCTGCCTTGACTCTTCTTTAGGAGGTAATTTTCTCTAATGGGACTATACATTGGGGATAATGTCCCACAAAACTCTCTCAGCACAGCAATACATCTCTGCCTTCATCCATTGCACTCAGAGTAGTATGGAGCCTCATTGATTATCAAATGAGTACTGGAAATAAGCTTGTAATTATACAGTTATACATACAGCTGGCACATGCTCTGGGGGCTGGGTGTGGAGAAAACAAAGCAACAACAACAATAAAGCAAAAAAAAAAAAAAACCCAAAACAAACAAATAAACCTCCAAAATAAAAAAACTCAACTATGTTGCACAGTATCTGACATGTGTCTTCTGTTTTATCTCAGGGATCCTCAATCTGGCATCAGGAGTAGTGGATTTACTTCAGTTCTACTTTCCAGAATCTTTTGATCGCCTTCCTAGAGATTCTGGCCTCTTTGATGGTCCCAAACCAACTGTTCTAGAGTCTTGTAGTGTAAGCGACTTGGCAATTTTGCTAAGAGGGAACAAAAGGAAAACCCAACCCATTGAATTTGGTGCCCACCAGGTGAGCTCCTTGGGATTGTATGTTTTGTAATAAAAGGAAGTTTGCAATTGAAAAAAGTTTGAGAGGCTGAATTATTCCATAAGGTAGAATTCAGTAGTCCATATCCCAGAGTGGATGAGCTCCAGAGATATGTGAGTATGACTAATTGTTTTAATATTTCCCTTGTCCTGACCAAATCCATGCTGGCTGTTTCTCTTTAAAGACATTATTTAATTGCCTCCCACTGAAATAGATGGACCTTTATCATGGTTTTCTTTGTAGAATTTGATGTTGTTTTGTTTTACTTCAGGTAATTCTTGTTGCCAATGAAATGGCAAAGGAGAAAATTCCAGAAGAGCTGGGGTTAGCACTTGTGCTAACAGTTTATGAAGCAAAAGGCTTAGAATTTGATGATGTTCTCCTTTACAACTTTTTTACTGATTCTGAGGTATGTCACACTGATGTGTTTTCATATAACCTGAACTGAAATTCCCATTCTAGGGAAGAGAATTTGGAGCTGAGGATAAGTTTGTCACACAGGTGTCTTTTTGTGTTTTAAAGTACAATTTATTTAGTGTGGAGGTTGGGTTTTGACAATGGCTATGGGTTGTTTCGTGGGATGTCATGGGCTGGTTCTCTTTGTTCCCAGGAAGGGTACTGGGAAAACCAGCCCATAACATGCTTTGTCTTGTCTTCATCTTCTGAATGCCTAGGATTCAAGTGCCAGTTTCCAGTTTTCATTAGCTACTGTTATCCTTGGCTCCCAGGGATTCCTAAGTTGGAGCAAGCTCTAAGGAGAGCCTTACAAATGAAGGCAAGGTTAGCAATGTCCATCCTATGAGGACAGAACTGGGCAAGGTCAGTTCATAGACAACTTCAGGAAGACAAATGAGGCTTGGCTCCTTCCTGCTGGATCAGGTAATATGGGGAACAAAAACCACTGCCCTGCCTGGGATCTCTCTATGGCATGGCTTCACTATCACTGCTTGCAGCCCAGGCAGACCAGGGCAGCCAGAGAGTCCCCAGGTTGACCCCCAGTGACCTCTGTGTCAGCCCATCATTTTGAGTTGGCTCTTGAGTCCTTATGATGGTTTTGCCCTTCAGCTTAGTTCATTTTGGGGAGAACCACCAAATAAAGAGCATCATTGCAGCTTTCCTAGCCATTGGTTTGATTTTACCATCTTTGGGTGGGGACTCAGGCTGATTGCTGACTGTGCTGTGGAGTCTTTTTTGGAGACTTAGCTGGCTGTGTCCTGGTCCCATTTGCAGAGTTCTCACTACATATTGTGCATGCTTGAAGGGGCCGTTTTATACCTGAGTCAGGAGCACTGTCCGCTTTGACACCTTAAATCTGCCCCGGAGCTGAACCTAGAAATAGAATCCTTACATTTTTTCCTGATCTCTTTTAATGTCATGTTTGCCTTAATACCTATGGCCAATATTATTATAGGTGTTTTACAGTTTATAAAGTATTTTTAAATGCATTGTCTCTGACTCCACCAACCCTTTAAAGCTATGTTTATTATTATTTTATAAGGAAAACTGAAGGTCCCTGAGGTTAAGTAAATTAACCATAGTCATAATGTAGGCAGTAGGGCCTGAAGACAAACTCATATGCTTTGAGTTATAACTCTTTCCCTTGTACTCCCTTTCTTTTAAAGCTTCACATGTGAATTGGCTGTCAGAACCTTCCACAATGAGCATATACTTGAAATTCCTTATATACATCCCTTCTCTATAAAATTTTGCCAATAAAATCAGATGCACACTTACTAACCCTGGAATGATTTTGCATCTGAGGATTACCTTTTTTATTCTAATAATACATATATTGGTCATGGCTGGACTGAGGCTTTCTTAAAAGAGGAAGGAAGAAGACTTTGTTATTTCTGTTCTTTATTATAAAGTGCCAGTTGTATGCATGTGCCAGTATGAAACTCAAGCATCTGGATTTAAAGATCTGTAAGTTATGGTGGGTTCTGTTGGTGAATGAGTAATCTAGTTGTTTGGTCTCAACTTGATCCTGGAAATAAATAAGGCTGAACTCTGTGCTCCCACTAATGGTTCAGGGAGTTGCATGAAATTTAAAAAAAAAGAAGGAAGAGGGGAAAAGGGGGGCACACACCCCCAGTCTGAATCTTTTGGTTACATCAGCTTTATCCTATGTACATGGTAGACTTCTAAAACAACTTTTAATGTGGTACTTCCCAACATAAATGTAATCGTGCATTCCCGAACACAAAGTTCACCTTTATCACTTATAGTCTCTAGCCATAAAGCATCTGTCAGAAAATGAGAAGAAATACTTTAATAAAAGGAAAGGGAAGACAGATCAAATATATCTCCAGCCTTTATGGGCTGGGGCCTAGGGTTTCTTTTGAGGTAACTGGCTGATAGTTGCTGATAGTTTTTGTTATTGCTCTTTGACATGGGCAACTGTGAGGAACTTTTCTCTTTTACCTTGGCCTCTTTCTCCACTCCTGTTGATATTTAAGGCAAGCATTCTCTTTGCAGCATCTGTTGCTAGGGCTTGTGAGGTGTATGGACAAGGGTGGGGAGGGGAAGGCCTTGCTGTCCCTGTTTGTGATTCTTCTTTCCAGAGGATTTCTTTTGCTGTTAGACCACGTGGTTGCCAGGGCCACCTTATGAGATGGGGAAGGAACTAAGGAATGTTATACCAAATCTTTCTCTTGTGGGATGCTGCTTCGTCTTTGGGGAGGGGCAGTTATTTTCTCAGTTACCCCCAAACTATCCTTCTGGGGATTTGGAAGTATAATTACAATTTACACTCTGCTCCAGTCAGTGGGGTATCCTTCTTTTAAGCTCATGTGTGAATGGGATGTAAGGGACTTTGAAAACCCACAGATCTTATGGGTTAGCTAACTGGTTTGGCCAATGGACTTTGGACTTCAAGAATAAGCCCCTCAAAGGTAGGTTTGCTAGTAGAATCTAAGCGTTGGTCCCACAGGAAGAACCTGGAAGACTTTTACATGTTGCTTTTTTTTTTTTTTTTTTTTTGCCACATTGCTGTAGGCCAACATTCTTGCTACAAAAACACATGTTCACATATTCCTAAAAGTCTCCAACTTTGATTCATGGAAACAGGTCAGTCATGTGCCATCTAACCAGCTTTTGCTTCTCTCCTTGTAGTTTTAAAATATACTGTGCTTCCCCAGCCCTTTCAAGGTCAGCCAGTTTGCACCTCACATTGCCTGCCAGGAGTGTCCTCTGAAGTGTCAAGCACTTGTGTCTGTGTCTACTTCCTTGGCAAACAATTCTGCCAGCTAAATAGCTTCACAAAAAGGATAGTAATAAATAGTCTTGAAGGTTTTTTTCTAAACCTTTCAGCTACTTAAATGATTTCCTGATAAACATCTCTTTTTAGAATATAGTGATTAATTCCATAATTGATTAGTAGCATAACCATTCCTCTTTAATGGACAGTATTTAAGGCATTTAACATAATTTAACTGCATATTTTAACTTATGGGGTGACTTAAAGCAGGTAATTAACTATCGACTTCATCTTTTCTGCATTTTAGATTACATAGATGTTATGTAGATGGCAAAGAATACCATTTTATAAAAAGAAAAGTAAAAGCTAGGAGAGTTAACTAGCTACTCTTACAAGGTACAGTAAATTAGGAATTTTGTACTCCAAATACTGCATATAATCTAGGCACTTCAGCTTTGTTGGGATCTGAACACTATAGTCTGCTGGCCAAATCCAGCCCACTGCCTATTTTGTACATTCTGTGGACTAAGAATTGATTCTAAATTTTTGAGTTGTTGGAAAAAACTCAAAGGAGAATAATATTCCATGGTACATGGAAATTATATGAAATTCAATTTAGCGTAGAGTTATTGGAACATAGCACACTCATTCACTTACATGTTGACTGGCTGCTTCAGCACCACAGTGGCAGAGCTGAGTAGTTTCAAGAGAGGCCATGTGACTTGAAAAGCCAAAGTTATTTATTATCAGACCCTTTAGAGAAGAGAAATTTGCTAACCCTTAGTCTACAGAGTGGTTTTGGGGTTTGGGTAAAGGGGAAAAAAATGTTAAAATGTCAAGCACTCTACTAGACACTTGACATTGATTATCTTATTTTCCCTACAAACTTGAGTGGTTCTGTTTTTGCCATTTTACAGAATGTGTGCAAGTTCACATAGTTAATAAGTAGAAGACCTGCATTTTTCCTGTCTGATCTCAGAGTCTGCCTTGTACAGTGCAACTCGCAGCACCTGATTTTTCTTCCATCCTTGGTAGAATAATTTAGGTAGAAAAATTTGCCACGTGTCTTAATTGCTGACCCTAAGTGGCATTTCTTAACAATGTTGTAAGAAAGGATGAGAATTTCCCTGCCTATACTACTTGTTGAAATTCTTTCATTAGAATAATTTCCTGGGCCCTTAGTGTTTTTCCCCAAGGTGGGCACTTTTGAGCTATGTTGGCCAAGTGTGTAAGGGACCCTGCTTGTCAACCTTAGTCCTGCTCCCTTCTATTGTGAGGCCACAGGATGGACGCTTCCTCACAGCTAGGATTGGAGTCTTGATCCCAACTTCACTGAGTGAGCTAATCTCCATGAAGCTTGGGGAGGCAGTTCAAAAGCATATTTTGTTGGTCTTTAATTTGTCATTGTTGTCCAGGCTTACAAGGAATGGAAGATCATTTCCTCATTTACACCTCCATCATCTGACTCCAGAGAGGAAAACTGGCCATTGGTTGAGGTACCCCTGGAGAAACCAAGCTCTTCTCAGACTCGGCCCCTCATGGTAAATCCAGAAATGTACAAGGTGAATTCTGCCATTTGTCTACACACTAATTTGACATGGAATTAGTAAACAAGGCTTATAAGAGAAGATGAGATGAACAATATAGGCTTGCACGTTACTGGTCCTCCTTTACATCAGAAATGGGCTGTAGAGAATGGGAAAGGAAGGGACAGGGGTGTCAGTGTTGGTAAACTCCCTTTTTCTCAGCACAGAGCTAGGCTCAATAAATAAGGTACTTTCTAAAAGCAGAGAAGGGAGAGTAGTTCTTTTTGTTCACCTCTGAAACTCAGCTCTATTCAGAAATTTTGATGTAGTAATACTAATGATATGTGTAGTACGAATGATGCTTCAATGGTTTAATTTTTAAAAACAAGTCACAGCAATTATGTAACACGTAACCATTGTGGTAAACTGAATGAAGGGTGCGCTGTCTTTGTAACTTTTTACTCTTTGTAGCTTCTGATGTATATATAATTGCTTCAGAATTAAAACTTTAAAAATCTATATCAGATTCAAAAGTTATCCTGTGTTGATGGCATGCTCACTTACTTTCTCTGTGGGAAGGGATGGAGTTTCTCATAACTTTGCTAGAGCCTGGCTTACCTGTGCTGTAGTCACTGAACTCCTGGGCTCCTGTTCACAGCTGTGCTGGGCTTCTCTAAAATTTAGTTTTCTGTTTTTCCAAGATCAGAGTGAGCCTATTGAAATGTATTGCATTGTAACTGTAGACAGAAGGCTCATAATCTTTGTCCTCAATTTTATCACCAGCTCCTTAATGGTGAGCTTAAGCAGCTGTATACTGCCATCACACGGGCTCGGGTCAACCTCTGGATCTTTGATGAAAACCTAGAGAAACGGGCTCCTGCTTTCAAATATTTCATTAGAAGAGATTTTGTACAAGTTGTGAAGACAGATGAAAATAAAGGTAAGATCTCATTAAAATAGTGTTGGAGGAAGCACATTCCTCTCATCTGCTTTTTTTTTTTTTTTTTTTTTTTTTAGAGAGAGTGAGAGAGAGAGGGGGACAGAGAGAGAGAGAGAGAATTTTAACATTTATTTTTTCTTAGTTCTCGGCGAAACACTTCCTTCCCTTTTCATGATCTGAGAAA